GCACCCAGAGCCCGTTGAGCCCCACGAAGTAACCCCAGAAATAAAAGGGGTGGGGGTCGCTGTGAGCCCAGCCCGCCCGCGCCTCCGTGGCGAAGTACAGGATGTCACCGTACAGCTGGCCTGGGGACACAGACAGGGACACAGTTAGGGACAGGGACAGTACAGGATGTCACCGTACAGCTGGCCTGGGGACACAGACAGGGACAGGGTTAGGGACAGCTTGGGGACACAGGGACAGACAGAGACATGGTTAGGGACAGGGACAGTACAGGATGTGACTGTACAGCTGGCCTGGGGACACAGGGACAAACAGGGACAGGGTTAGGGACAGCCTGGGGACACAGGGACAAACGGGGACAGGGCTGGGGACAGGGACAGTACAGGATGTCACTGTACAGCTGGCCTGGGGACAGAGGAACAGACAGGGACAGGGTTAGGGACAGGGACAGTACAGGATGTCACCGTACAGCTGGCCTGGGACAGAGAGAGGGACACAGTTAGGGACAGGGTTAGGGACAGCCTGGGGACACAGAGACAAACAGAGACAGGGTTAGGGACAGTACAGGATGTCACTGTACAGCTGGCCTGGGGACAGAGAGAGGGACAGGGTTAGGGACAGGGACAGTACAGGATGTCACCGTACAGCTGGCCTGGGGATACAGACAGGGACACAGTTAGGGACAGGGTTAGGGACAGCCTGGGGACACAGAGACAAACAGAGACAGGGTTAGGGACAGTACAGGATGTCACCGTACAGCTGGCCTGGGGACAGAGGGGACAGGGACAGGGTCAGGGGACAGCCTGGGGACAGGGCAAAGTACAGGATGTCACCGTACAGCTGGCCTGGGGACAGAGAGACGGACACAGTTAGGGACAGCCTGGGGACAGAGACAGGGACAGGGTTAGGGACAGGGACAGTACAGGATGTCACCGTACAGCTGGCCTGGGGACACAGGGACAGGGTTAGGGACAGCCTGGGGACAGGGACACAGCCTGGGGACAGCCAGGGCAAAGTACAGGATGTCACCGTACAGCTGGCCTGGGGACAGAGGGGACAAGGACAAGGTTAGGGACAGCCTGGGGACAGGGCAAAGTACAGGATGTCACTATACAGCTTGCCTGGGGACAGGGACACAGAGAGGGACACAGTTAGGGGACATGGGGACAGCCTGGGGACAGCCAGAACAAAGTACAGGATGTCACCGTACAGCTGGCCTGGGGAGAGGGACACAAACAGGGACACAGTTAGGGACAGGGACAGCTTGGGGACAGCCAGGGCAAAGTACAGGATGTCACCGTACAGTTGCCCTGGGGACAGAGGGGACAAGGACAGAGGGTCAGGGACAGCAACAGGGACATGGGGACAGCCCGGGGACAGGGACAGGCGTGCGGGGATGGTGACACTGGGGACATTGGGGACACAGGGGACAGGAGAATGTTGACACTGGTGGCACAGAGACACAGGACAATGGGTGCACTGGGGACAGGAGGATGGGGACACAGGGATGGTGACACTGAGGACAGGGGGATGGGGACGTTGGTGACACTGGAGAGGTGACACTGAAGACACTGGTGACACAGGGACGGGTACACTGGTGACATGGGGACACAGGGACACTGGAGAGGTGACACAGGGATGGTGACACTGGGGAGGTGACACAGGTGACAGGTGACATGCTGACAGAGGGATGGTGACACAGGAGACATTGGTGACACAGGGACACTGGGGAGGTGACACAGGTGACACTGGGGAAGTGACAGAGCTGACACAGGTGACATGGTGAAAGGGACACAGGGATGGTGACACAGGTGACACAAAGATGGTGACACAGATGACACTAGGATGGTGACAGATCTGACACAGGTGACACGGTGCACAGGGACACTGGGGAGGTGACACAGGTGACACAGGTGACACTGGGATGGTGACACTGGGGAGGTGACAGAGCTGACACAGGTGACATGATGAAAGGGACACAGGGATGGTGACACAGATGACACAGGTGACACTGGGGAGGTGACTCAGGTGACACGGTGACACTGGGGAGGTGACACAGGTGACACGGTGACACTGGGATGGTGACAGAGCTGACACAGGGACACTGGGATGGTGACAGTGGGGAGGTGACAGAGCTGACACAGGTGACATGGTGCACAGGGACACTGGGATGGTGACACAGGTGACACGGTGACACTGGGGAGGTGACACAGGTGACACAGGTGCCATACCCAGGGACACCACGAGCTGCAGGATGTAGCGGGCCGGGTGCTGCCGCAGGAGGGCGAGGAAGGTGAGGAAGCTCAGGGGACCCCAGGCCCAGGCTGTCACCGTCTCCATGGCAACCGTGAAGTCATCG